GAAGAGTTTCGGTGCAAATTTTTTGGAATCATTCTTTTTGTTTTCGGAGAGAGGTGAGCAACAGAGGATAGTTTGAGTGTTGTTCAGTATTTTTGTGGATACACCTGTTGCAAAGATGAATCGACGAGAAATTCGAATGCCCGCAAATGTGAAGCAATTATTGGATGGTTTATGTGATAATATCTGTAAGCGTTTGCAGTCCGATCGTGCCCAGGTTCGTTTTATGAACACTTATTTATGCGTTTCGTGAATTGTTTAGCTGAGTTTAAAATGGTGATGTGAAAATGAGGCAAAGTGGACGAAAACTGAAGAGGATAGTGCAAAAAGCATTAAAATGCCAAAAAATGCCTGGTATGAGAAGTGGACGATAGCTGTTAGGAAGGTGTTTAGTTTTTAACAGAGTACATTGATGGTTTGACCGCTGGATGTGTGTCATTTTGTCATTGTCGAGATAATGAATCTTTTGTTCTTCTCCAAATTTCAAACGAAGTTGTTTCCCGACAGCACTTGCGGAAATGTTATTATGTTAATGTAAGTTTCATTTTTAGCAAAATAAAATTCAAAGAGAAGAGAAAATGCGTAAACTCTTACTATCAGAAGGTGAGAAATTGCGTAGAAAGCAAATAGTGAAATCTGTGAGTTTTATTTTCAGCATAAATTCAAATTTGATCACTGAAGTGAAATTCCAGTTCACTTGGCAAATAATTAGCATTATTACAATTATAATGAAATGCACCTCCTTTATTTGGATAATCTCCATATATTATACGACTAATTTTTCATCTGTAACTAATCATCAACAGCGGAATTATCTTTGTATCCATTCTACGAGGATATTCCAATTATTGATATTGTCGTTCGTAAAATTGCTTTCATCTTTTACATATTTATTTTTCTTCTCTAAACAGGGAAATTAGTGTAAACAATTGAATAGTGTGATAAGTTTACATTTTCGCATCTTTCAGGAGCAAATGAAACTGATCAAATCAGCAAATGTTGGCGGTGATATGAACCAACAATAAAATACAATACTTAATTTCTTGTTCATTTCTCTTGAAGTTGAATGCATGCATAATTGATTCGGTATTCAGTAACTGTTGATATGAGTTTATCTTCTGAATGAATGAATGAATGAATCATGTCGGGAAATTTTGAAATGTTTTTTCAACATTTCATTGCCAAACGTTCTGAGAAGTCAACCAAAGAGCATGTATAAGAGTATTTATACTTGTAAAATAGTGTGTACAACTTCCCAACAAGGTTCTATTCATTATAAACTTTCGTAATATTGCTAGATCATTCGGTTTCGAACAGTGGGACTTGAGTGGGACTTGAATCCACATTTTCGACATACCCTTCTCCGCTCGGGTACTCTATCTCTGAGGTATCGCAGAGGCTGTTCAGCCTACACCGAATGGATTTATCCAGAAGCTTTAGTGCTTGAACGAGGCCAGTAACCACGAAAAATCAAGAAATTTCGTATGCAAAGATAATGCTTGTTTGGAAATCTGAAGCGGTTATTCGTGAAGTGAATAGCGATTTGTGGGTAGCGATTACTTCACTCATAGGAAATCGCTTTCAGCAAGAGAGTCGCTTCCTTAATCAGCACTGATTCGTATTGTTGTTGCGCATTTAATATCTAAAAGATTCCTAAATGATCACTTGTTTTGCAGTCGGAATTTTGGAAATTACGACTTCCCTTCAATTCCATAAAATTCATGTTTCGAAAAGTTAACCATCGAAGTTGTGTATTCGAGCAGTTCAGTGATAATACTTTTCTAAATAAGATTATAATTCATTTTGTATTTACTGAATACATTGAATAAATAATTGTTTTTCAATGCTTATGCTGTCGTTTTTTTCTGATGAACGGTTCTTCAGTCCGATTCTGTTTCTAAAATTGTTTTTTTTTTCATTTGGAGATTTCTTCAAAAATGCGGTTCAATTGAAGATCATCGACAATTCGCTTTGATTAAAAATAAGTCAGTCATTCAAAAATTCCGAAAACAGCGGTATTTTGTGAGCGTATTTTTTAACATACTAATTAGCACAACTTCAATCCATTGAACTTCTTCGTTTTTTTATGATGTAATTGTTTTCAAATGATTTTTTTCTATTGTATTTATTTCCAAACGACTTCTTGCTCTTTATTGCAATGTTTATATGATTGCAATGCTTCGAGGATGATTGCAATCTTTTATTTATTTTTGGAATTCGTCGACTCAGAGTGATCCTTTCTCATTTAACTTTCCTGACTTTGCGTCCCTCTCGTCCTTTCTTGAAATGGAATATTTTCTTGACGGTATTAAATTCTGTCGTAAATTTCACTGAGAATAATCGCATTTGTCACAGTCCTATGGAAAAATTGTTTTCGTGTTGATATGTCCGATGTGATGTTTGTGTGCTTTATTCGTTTCAGTTTATATTTATTCATTTCCAGAAAATTACAACTTTTTCTCAGC